GTCTCTCTGGTTCCTTGTATGTTTCTACCTAAAGGTTGACATTTTGTTCTGCAGGACTGTTTCAGTTGGTTCACAAGTTTATTCTAGTGAAAGCAGTGCAATACGCATCCTTCAAGTGTCATGGCATCCCAATAGTGACTCTCATGTTGGAATTCTCTCTTCTGATTCAGTTTTCAGGTATATAAAAATCGTACTGTGATGTTCAGTTTGCATTAATTGATCATGGTCTGGGGGCTGCTGATCATATAGTACTTCCTCTGAGATTATACGTTGGTTTAGGAGGAGAGGTAAAACTTTGCAATAAAACTTGTAAGAAATGAGGATAAATGTATTTTAAGAAATGGAGGCTTCTTTAATATATGGATGCTGCCATCGATGTCCATGTATATTTATTTATATTTGGTTCATTTCTTTCTAGCTCCACAAGATTTCAATTCCATTTGAAATTCTCTCTCTCTCTCTCTCTCTCTCGTCGGGAGTGTTTGAGTTTGCAGATATAGCATGTAAGTATTTTTTATAGTTTGTTACATATGTCAAATTCCTTCATTGGTTTTATTCTTCTGCGTATTGGAATGCATTTTTTATGGTAGTCCTGTTAAAAAATAATATTTTTATGGCAGTCCGGTTTTTAAAATCATATGCATGGTAATTGAGTTTGATTGAAGTATGTGTTAACTTCTTATTTTTAACTCCTCTGCAGACTCTTTGATTTATTCTCTGATGTGATGCAACTGGAACAAGAGTATTATCTGCAGCCTGTTGAACCTGGTAGATCTAGGAATGCTGCATCAATCTGTCCTGTTGACTTTTCTTTCGGGGGTGACCACCTGTGGGATAGGTTTAGTGTAAGTTCAATTTATTCTAGCATGTGAAGTATTTTTATTGCTGTTGCTGTGCTGTTTTGAGTAATTGCATAATTTGCGGTGACTTAATGTGATTCACGGAAATCTTATTACTTGATTTGTTCTATCCTGATCAATGACTATTTTGTATCTCCCTTTGAGTTCAGTTGCTGAACTAACTAGGGATTGATGGATTGCAGTTGATATTTCTTTGCTTTATTGATGAATCTGTCTATAATTCTTCCCTGCTGGTGTGTGCTAAACCTTTCAAATCTTATTATGCAGGATAAATGTGGCTAAATGATTTGTTGCCTCATTGGTCATGCTTCTTTGTACTTAATGAAATTGCTAAACACGCTTTCTCTTTTGATTTTAAAAACTTTTATGATATCATTTTCTTATTGCTAAGCTTGTTACGTTTTGGATTTAATTACCATTCACATATTGTGGCAATTATTGAATATAACTTTTATGTCATTTAGGTTTTTGTATTATTCAGCGATGGAGCTGTTTACATCCTCTGTCCAGTTGTTCCATTTGGAAGGTATTCAATATTTTTAAATTTTATTTGTTTTATTCTTTTTCTTGTTTTACTTGTCTTTCCAGTTCTTGTATTGAAACCATCTTCATAAACGCTGCCACGCTTATAAATTCATTTGAACAATGTCAGACTGATGTTACTGTTAACACTTGCTATACTTTGCTTCAATAAATCAAGATACTTGGAAATTAATGGGGTTAAATCATGTGTATCGTCTTGTTTGACGCCTGCCATAGGTCATGGGGCTGTATGGTTTAATCGTTTCTTCACGCTGATGTTGTTAAGTTGATACGGCTGCGGCTCATTTCTATCCTATGCTGTCTGTGGCCTAGAAATTTATCTCATGCCTTCTCTTGCATCTTGCTATTATATAACGATGTCATTGCCTAAGAAAAGTTTGATGTTGATTTGCTACTTTTTCTTGTTATATTTATTTTTGATTCATTGGATGATCTATTTCTAAACAGTGTTTATAAATGGGAGTCAATATTGGAGATATATAGTGATGCTCATACTTTTGGATTGAACTCGGCCAATTCAGCAGCTGTTTGTAATTCTAATATGGCAATCTCGTGGTTAGAAGAAACTTTTCCCGAGCTAGCTCAACAAGCAGCAGATACGGAAAATCCATCTACCATAAAAGCTCATTCTCATGCTTTATTTGATGCATCACTTGCTCTGCAGGTATGTGAAATAATTTTATTGTACCCTATCTAAGGGATGCATTTGGTTTTGATTGGAGATTTTCATTTTGTTTGGATGTGCAATTTATGCTCTTTCAAAGAATGAGCAATTTAGGGTCGATCTGTGTATCATGGCATGAAAATTTCACTGAGAATATTTTAAGGCTTTGTTATGTGATCATTTCATTATCAGTTAACCTTTCGATTTGATAACCTTTTCCAGGGGCCATTACATAAAGTATGTCGTGCTGGGGAGGATGAAGCTCTTGCAGTTAGGGGTGCCGAATGTGAGGGCCGCGCAGTCAGTTTTATTTATAATTTAGTCAGCAAAGACTCGATTCTGGTGACTGCCTGGAGTGGTGGGCAATTGCAAATAGATGCCCTAGCTGATGAAATCCAGCCAGTCTGGGTAACTGGTAGTGCACCACGTCTTCGTGTCGATTCCCATGATCACGTTCGTGGGATTGCTATGATATGCGAATCAATCACTGCCAAGCATTCTATTGTGAAGCTTGATCAACCACTTCATAACACTGTTTGGTTGGGTCATCCACCTCCATTGTTGAGACTGGCGATTGTGGATTTGGCTTTGCCAAGGAAGACTGAAGGCAGTTCTCTTATCACAATGTTTGTGGATCCACTTATGCCCGAAAGAATATATTCTCTTCATGAGGGAGGGGTAGACTCGATAGTCTTGCATTTTCTCCCTTTTACATCCCAGATCAATGGGAAGGATGAGAATATCAAAACTCCCTCTGTGCATCCTGTACTGAGTACATGCCAGGGAGAGACATCTTTACCTTCTCCTCTTTTCGGCTTCACCTCACTGTCTGATTCATTCGGATATTCGTGGGTTGTGTTAATCACTTCAACTGAAGAATGTGTTGTGCTAGAGATGAAAACCTGGAATTTGTTGCTTCCCATTCAAATCGACCAAGAGAAGCCTGTTAGCTTGGAAGAACAGAAAGAGAAAGATACTCCAGATATCATAAGCAAAGAACTCCTCAGTGGTCCAAAGTCGGTTCTGGTTCCTCATGCCTCGCCTAATCTGCATTCTATCTCTGCAGATTCTATCGAGGGTCGATCTGCTCTTCATCAGTACTTCAAGCTTTTCCATGAAAATTATGTCGAGTATGCGCATAAGGTGAGGATGCATCAATTTAACTGATATCCATTTACTGACATCCAAGCAAAGTCTAAATGTTGAAAAGGCTCTTGCTCAGATGTAAAAGACTTGTATATTCCCTCGTAACGGGAATTGGAAGTCCTGAAGTTTAATTTTTCTTGAGGCTGATGTTTGCACGGTTTATTGTCAATGTAACATTTTTCTTGATTCTAGAACTGGTTTTGCCTTTATTGTCTGGGAAGCTGAAGAATTTATATTAAAAAGCCATTGCCTTTATCATTACTTTTTAATTGATTTATTGACTTCTCTAGGTGTACTTTGAGCTGAAACATCATGGACCTCAGTTGAAGAGGATCATAGACGACCAGCACACTCGGTTGAACAAGGCACAAGAGAATATTTTGAGAGTTGAGGCAAAACAGTCTATGCTGAATGAGAGGATTGATCGTGCAGTCCAGCGACATGGTTCTTTGGAACAGCGATTGCAACATCTGAGAAGACTGCCCGGGGTACAGAAGAAACCATTGTCTAGAGCAGAACAGGAATTTAAGTCTGAACTCGGTAATCAGTTTCGTACATCACAATAAATTTTACTAAGAACATAGCGCAATGATAAACACCGCGCATCATTCAACAATTTGTTTGATCATTATGCAGATCAATTCGCCGGAGTAGAATTGGATGCTTTAAAATCTTCGATCAATACATTAAAAGCAAGACTTAGAAGGTATACACAATCTTCAAAAGACAGTGTAGCAAACCAGAGAAGGAAAATGCCTGGTCGGAACAATGTGCAGGATACTCAAATCTCTCAACTGAGATCGTCACTCGAGAAACTCTCACTGCTCAATAGCGAGAGTACAAAAAAGGTTGAACTCGTTGAATCGGCACTGAAGATGAGAGACAGCAGCTGAAACAAAACACCAGTGAAAAGTTTTGTTGTCCAAGAGATATGAAGTTTTTCAGGCTAGGGAGATGACACATTTATGTATTATTACAAGACCAATTAATGCAATGAATGTCTTTTATCTTATTATCCACTCAAATCCATGGCCCTTTTTAGAATCCCAGTGGATGATAGAGTTTCTGATTGCAAGTCTTAAGAAATCTGAAAAAGTTGGTGTTACTGACGACAGAAAATAATGGCAAAGAAAAAAATTTAATACATAAATTTACGTGAAAAATGCTTGACAGAAAACACTATGTGCTTAAAAGAATAAATTTATTATGATCGAAGAAAATGTTATAATAGAATTGCAAGTGCACACGCTCTGAAAATACCCTCTCTCTATATATAAAAGGTATGAACATTATATATTAAATAATAAACACGTATCATATTAAAAGTTCACATTCATCACAGGATTTATCTTTTTCTTAATTTTAATACTTCTATTTAACAATCTCTAGAATAATTTATTAACATTCTCAGTTGACACTTTTCCTTTCTTTTAGGTTGTGAATTCAATATTGATTAGGAGAAAAATTTTCCAACAGAAAAAAAAAACTTCGTAAAATGTGTGGCATCATACAAGTTTAAACTGCATTAAAGACTTTCAAATTACAGTCTTTAACGATTAAGAACAAATTACATATTCAAAAATGATTTTGTAATATTTTCTTGGTTTATTGCACAAATTGTTACATGAAGTTGGTAATCCTTTTAATTGATAATTGAATGTTCTTAATCAAAAACATATATCCCCGATGCAAAAGAATTCAAAACATAATGTCATAGTAACTCGTATAGCAAGTTTTTTTTCTTTTTTTTAAAATAAATAATAAACCGAACTCAAACTAGAAATGAATGAAAAATCGAATACTGTCGCATCTCTTTGATTGTAATGGAACTGGATGGATGCTAGCATTAAGAGCATTGTTACGAGTTTGAATGTGGATGAAAATAGATGCCCGCTACCTCCCTTCCTACTAATACTGCAATTCCCAACATAAAAGAATAAAGTTGATTTACATTCACTAAACTCTATTTTGTTTCTTCTTCTTCTTCTTCTTCTAACTTTGTTCATTGCATCCCACACCATCCAAAATTTATTGCACCTCTTCTTCTAACATTTTATCTTTTACATTGGCTAAGAAGACAATGCACTTCGACGCCTCAAGTTGATCGGGTACCGCTTCTGCGTTCGGGTCGTCGGAAAGAAAACTAGCTTGTCCTCCTCGGCAGGTTCCCAACTGTTTCCAAAAAAAAAAAAGGTTACTTAAACAATGCAAGTTTGCATCTAAAGATGGAAGATGTGGAGCAATAACAATTGGTTACCTGAACCGAGTTACCAGGTGGTGTAAGAATACGGAGAGTTCTACTCTAGCAAGCTCAAAACCTGGGCACAGTCGAGGCCCCCCTCCGAATGGTGTGTAGACATTTCCGGGGCAGCTTACCCCCGAGTTATTCTGTTTCAAATTGTTACTCACTCGTCAGTAATGGTTCCCGGGCACGGTCAATGCACGGATTTAGAAAAATTACCTGCCATCTCCACGGATTGAAAGTGCGAGCGTCTTTGAACTTATCGGGGTCGAGATGTACGGCCCTAAATGATGCGAAAACCTTCCAACCTTTTGGGATTGTGTAGCCTGATTGAATGAGCCGGATCAGTAAGGACAAAGCTAGCCTTAAGTTTACAGTAACATGATTATTATTAGACTGTAATCAAAGCGTATTCCTAACCTTTTATATTGATATCCGTCATTGCTCGTCGAAAAACTCCGCTGATTATGTTTGCAACACGTAAAGTCTCATTAACGACCTGAAACACATTTAAATTCAATATCAAGATTAAAAAGAATCAAATTTTAGTTGTTCTTCGAAGGCAACGAGTCGAACTTACACATTGAGTGAATGGCATTGACTTGTAATCACTCCATTGTAAAGCCTCGGATTCGGTTTTTTTGGCCCTAATCCCCTCGTGTTCTTCCTGCCACCATTGAAGATAATGACCTCATTAATCTCCATTCGGAAAGACAGAAGAATTAGGCACAGATATGCGTATGACATATATTTGAATCTGTCAAATATGAACATTAACATTAAAATAATCCCAAGGGCCTATGTTCGCCTCAAAAGCTAACATAGGCCATGTGGTATTCTCATGAGCCCAGTGGCTTTAAATGGTCCTACACAGCAATGATTCAAAGACCCATGGGCCATGTGGTGTTCACATGAGCCCAAATAACCTTAAATGGTCCCACGAAACCCTGATACAAAGAAAATCTGACGGCTAGGATTCAAACCATCACGTGGATCTACATAAAAGATGGTTTTGAACCAAAAAGCAATCCTAGGAATCAAAAAGTTTATTGCTTTTTCAACTTCTAGGGTTAGTGACCCTAGCTTTTCAAAAAAAATTCACCACCGTCCGATGGTCCTTTCCCCTTGAAATCAGCACCTCTCATTTCCCAAAGTCCCAACTAGGGACCAAAGGTCAAATCATACACCCTATTGTACACGATAGCATCCCAATTACCCAAAAATGCCCTTTGGAATCTGCAAGTGTGGGAGAAGGGCTCTATGGTCATTTCAAGAAAGACAAAATAGTCAAATAGTAGGAGTCATCAGAGACTCTGACAAAAGGGTCAGACTTTTCATTTTTTCCTTTAAAATTACTATTTTTTAAATATCATATTATAATCACATAAATCCGATTATATTAATAATCGAATTATATTTTAAATAAAATATTTAATATTAAATCTTTTATCTCTCGATCAACTAATAATTATAATATTATATAATATACATAAAAAGGGCATGGGATCACATGATGGGAACAATTAAAAGAAAAAAGAATTATAATAATAAAAAAACAAAAATTCCCATATCAAACTCACGTGTGGCAAAGTATGTTTTCCCAAGTGCATATTTGTTCATATTATTATAATATAGTAATAATAAACTCTATTTAAAGTAAGGAGAGGCCATGTGATTTTATCATCCCACTCATCCACGTGTTAATGGTTTGTGAGGATGAAAAAGAAAAGCCAGGCCAATTTGGGTGATTATTATTTCCAAGGTCCAACTATGAAAATTTTGAGGTCAAATTATTATGTTGGTCCCTTGTTTTTATTCAAACTAAAGATTTAGTTTCAATAGTTATATATGTGATAATTGATTCTTAACCTTTCCCTACGTTAACTAGTTAACTATTAAGATTAAAAATATGACTAAATATGAAAATTTGAGTTAGGAATACGATGAATTTCGATTTAATTTTATAGGTTTCCTAATTCATGTTCGGAATGGGTTTTGTGCACGAGATATTTGGGGTAGAAAGAACTGGACATAGGATAAAAAAAATTCGACACTAACAATCGTCGTGACCTACAAATTATAGAGATGAAATCTATAATTTACACACAAGAGGGACCAAAACTAGAATTGGACCAAAAAGAAAATTTATTTGTAAAAGTTAAAAAATGAAGGGGGAAAACAACATACCCTGAGTTGAGCCAAAGCAAGAGGGGTCTCAGTCAAGAACTTGACAGCAAGAGTCATGATGGTGGATGTTGTTTCATAGCCAGCAACGAGCAAAGCCACCAAGAAATCCACAATCTGTTCATCTGAGAAATTGTCATCCCCCGCCAATAATGCTGCCAACATATCATTCTTCTTCTCCCCTCCCTCGTACTCTCTCCTCCTCTCCCTTACTATTAAACTCAACGCCTCCGCCACCTTTGTCCGAGCCTGTAAACCCACATTCCCATCATAAACACTGACGGATGCACATTGGATTCACGGTACACAAATGTTTATCTTCAAATTTTCATTCATTAGTTATCTATTTTACTTGTACAAAAATTTAATATTAAATGTGTCTCGTTCTCAATAATATTTCTGGATCCATCTTTAATTATAAATCTTTATAACAAATGGTTACTTACTTTGATTGCTCGACGGTAAGTGGTGGAAAAGAGAGGGAAAGGAACAGTGAAGAAGCCTTCAATAACAAGGACGTATTCTCTTCTTAAACTTTCACTCCATTCACCAGGATCATAACTCATTAGCTGCTTCACTGTTAACTCGAAGGTTATCTATAAAAACAATAAATTATTAAAATAATAATAAAAAAGATAGATAATAATGAAAATGATGCTTTAAAGTTTTGAAACAAAATGATTTCAGCCGTATCTTTTTTTTCCAGGGAATCTGAGTCACCACCGCCATTTTTAACGTGTTAATAATCATTAATATGTCAACCACCGAGTCAACTCGGAACTATATAAGGTACTGTTTTTTTTACCTTCTTGGCTTCTTCCATGAGGAAGACATGGTCGGTCCATGAGTCCATGTTGAGCCGGACTAGCCGGTCTATATCGACCAAAAGATGATCCCGGATTATCGACGAGTTAGCGAAACTCATGGTCAGGGAATGCATTCTTTTATGGAGGCTTCCTTTCATTAACAGCAACGAGTGTTTCCCGAGCAAATTCGATATCGAACCGGGGTAACTGCAGTCGAACAGCTTCCCTTCGTTCTGCAAGATGAACCGGTTGGTTTCCGGGTCGGCTGAAAAAACAGTTGGTTCGCCAAAAACATGTGTGGTGAAGATCGAGCCATATCGGCTCACCCTCTCGTCGATGAAGGGCTCAGGGTTTTCAGTCTTGTAAGCGGCTATAAGCTGCAGTGTCTCGCCGACAAAAGGTAAACCCAAGTTTCCAGGCGGCAAACGGAGGCGCCGGATACGGGAGGCGCGGAAGAGGAGGAAGATGACGGCGGAGATAATGGCGGTGATGAAAAGATAGTGAAGAAAGAAAGCCATGAAAAAGTTTGCTTTGTTTTTTTTTAATATGAAAACACAAATTCAAAGAGATTTTTTTCCTTGAAAGAAGAGAACAAATGGTGAGTTTATAAAGGAGGAGAGAGTGAAAGGGAAGATAGTAAGAAGCACACGAGGGGTAGTTTCTCATACCTGTAAGGCATCTAAAGAGGTGGGGATGAAAAAGAAAGAAAATTAATTGTTTTGGGGATATTTCCATATCTGACACCTTTCTTTTCCTGTAAATTTAATTTTCACAGGTTTTTTTTCTAATTTCCAAAATTATTATTTTATAAATAATGTTTTTTTTATTTTATAATGATTAATATTAAAATATTTCATTTCTTAATAAAGTCATATTGATCTGATTATGGTAATGAATTATAAAGAAAATGCTGGCAACGTCTATAAAATTGTGTAGGGTGAGGTATATTTGGATTGCAAATCATTTTTTAATTTCTTTCCATAGTAATTAAATCTAAGAAAAATCTAATAAAATTACCAATTGCGTTCACTTCTTTTTAAAAATGGAAAGAATTTTATGTTGAGATAAGGGTAAATTTATCTGTTTCTTAAGTGACAGTCCACCTAATATTTTAGGTTAATATAAAATTATCTGTCTTATATAATAGATCAACAAAATATTAAAATTATAAAAATATTAGTTGTTTTTTATCAATAATTTCTATAACATACGATTAAAAGTTCCAAGTTGACATTTCATCTATTTCTTAAGTTATGAGTTCAATACTCATTACGGGGAAAATATTTCTTCCTCTTCTTTTCCTCCATATAAGACTTGTTTTGAAAATTATACAAAAGTATAAATAAATAATATTAATTTTCTTGTTAGATTCAATGTCAACTATATTAAAACTAATAATCTAATTAATATTTATATTAAGAAAATAATTATATGAATTCAAACAAAAAAATGAAGATAAAATCTAATTAGAAAAATAGGAATTAAAATGATAAATTGCATAAACATTAAAAAGCTCAATTCATGATTATATCATTTATGATGAAGTGGGATTGTCAGTAACTATGGAAACTTTGATGTCAAAATAGTTTTGTTTTCATCTCCTTTCGAGGAGGTTTGATATTTTTCTCATAATAAAGTTGTTATAGGAAGTGTTGGAATTTTAGGAATTTAAGTAAAGAAATGATATTGTATAAGATAAGGGTCAAAAAAAGAAGAGAAATTTATTGATAAACCAATAGTAAACTTAAAGCAAATTGCAATTGCAAAAGATTTAGACAACTTTCTTTTCCTCTCCTCTTTTTTCAATTATTTTGCTACAAAATTTGTTTTGAGTGTTCACAAATTTTAGTTTGGTATTCTTTTTTAAATTTTAGATTTAAGTATTGACTTAAACAGTAACAATAAAATTTACTATTAATTCATGTATTATACATAAATTGTATATTTAGTTCACGTGTAATATTTTATATCCGATCTAATAATAAAGTGGCTTATCTTAAGATGTCATGTTAGATCCCAAGCAGCCGAATAATTTAAAACTTTTGTTATTCTCGTAATAAAACATGTAGGGACCTTAATTCATACTAAAATATTAACACCCATAGGAATTATAAAACGTTTGTTCAAAAATTGGAGTTTCACGATACATAGTAATTCAAATTATGACCAAAACTAAAATTTAAAGTTGTAGATCAAATACAAATAAAGTTCCTATGAATATACAAGTGTACCAAAGTATTTAAGTAATATACTTTTATAATGATGTTGGAAGTCCTGCAACGACGATGCTTCATGTACAACTCTGATCTATAAACATGTTTCAGTACATTAATATACTTATAGTCATTCAATTACGAGCCATACATGAATGTTATCATGTGTTTCTAGTCCTTGTTCCAAGGATTTAGTCATAATATCATAGCAATAACAATAGGTTATGTTATATCTTAAATTATTATCATTTTATAATTATTGTTAATATTAATGTAGGGATATTTTCTTGAAAAAACTTAGGTATATTTGATAATCCGTTTGATAATTTATTGAAAATTAATAATTTTAGTATTTTAATGTTTTAGATATATTTGATAATCTAAAATTAAATATATATGTGTTAGAACTTTTCAACGAAAACGTGTGAAATTGTTAAATAAACTATGACATACTTATTCTTTAATAAAGAATATTTTTACACTTTTGATATTATTATTTAATTTAACTATCTATATTCAATTTACTGGTCGATTAATAAAAATTATGTATTATAAACACATATTAGATGACCAACAATCAATTAATTTAAGCATTTCTCTACTTTTAATCCTAAACTGTTATTTAATTATAGTTTTACATGCTTTGGTCCACTTAAAACAATAACCATTAGGAATTAAAAAAACAACTTACAGAACAAGTGGTTAAAAATCTTTCAATTGACATATTTTCTCTCTTTTTAGGCCGTGGGTTTAACACCCATTAGGGGGAAAAAAATTCAATTCTCATTCTCTAAGTAAAAATTGTTATAAAAAATCAGCTTCAATGATGTAGAGTAATTTGAAAATAAAGAAAGGCAAATGTCTCAAGAGGGTATATTTTGCAACCATAACCAAGTAAGACTCGATTTGTTTATATTTCATACAATTCATAGCCCATAAAAGTAAGGATACAAATCATTCCACAAAGAGAAAAAGGGAATGGAGAGTATGTAGACAATATACGTTTTGCCACCAGAAAACTCTTCTTTTCCATGATGCATGTGTTCTCTTGGCCCACCAAGAACTTACTAGAAAAATAAGAGATATCCCTCCTTTTATCACCTTCAATTTTAGTGAGTTTTTTTTATTATTTAAAATATCAGAACAAATTTAAATTATAATGAACTAATTCAATAAAATTCAATTATATATTATTTTTGAACTAGTCCTACTAGGAGGAAGGGGAAGGGAAATTATGCTCCTAATAAGTATTGAATCCATAGCTTAGAGAAGAGGAGTCAACTGAAATATTTTAATCGCATACTCTAAAGATTATTAACGATTCAAACATATATTTTAAAATAACACAAAAATATAATATATTATCATAAATTCAAAAATTGTTCTATAATAAAAAGAAGGATGGTCCTATGCAAAAAACATTAGAAACCATTAATGAGTTAAATTAATGGATTAACTAAAGGAACCTTACATTATTTTAAAGGTTTTGATGGAAAGTAATAGTCATTATTCCTCCACATTGTCCCAACAATTTCAAACCCTAGCTTCCTATTCCATCTTAGAATAAGATTAATCCTTCCTAAAATCAAATGAAGCTTCTAAGCAATATTCAAAAATACTTTGTTAATTAGGGACTTATCTACAATTTAAGGAATATTTTTTTTACTTTTAGTGTATTTTTCTCTCAAACAAGGTTGATGATGATATCATGTTCAACCACATGGTCCCCATGAAGAACACTAAGCCCTCTAACCACTCTACAAACCCATAAAATAATGATCCCTAACCATAACCCACAACTCTTTGTTTTATATGTTACTATTATCATTTTGTTTTTTGTGTTTTTTTATAAAAAAAAACTTATACCATGAAACTTTCTTTTGATTGAGAGAATGAAATAATGTTAATACTTTTAGAAAAAATATTAATTAATGAATATATTTATATTTTGATGATTCGATGCATAAATTTAGTTTTGTTCAAATACTCATAAATTTTAAATTTATAAATCATAAATCACTTAAATACTATAATTTAAATCGATTTTCAAGTAATCAATTTTTATTATTCAGTCCTACTCATACTAAAATAAAAAGTGCGTCATCTTCACTTCGAATCATTTTAAGAATTTAGAACCCCATACGAACTCACATGATTCTCGTCTCGCATTGTTGATTTATATAAAACAATATAGTGGTTTAATTATGATTTTAATCTCTCTATTGTGTTGTTTTTTTATTTAATCTTTCTATTTTTTTAATTAAGCATGATTTATTCTCTTTACTTTTGTAATGTTATGAGTATATTTAATTTGATAATATAGTTAGTTGCTATAATCAAATTGATGATGATGTTATTTTTTAATTAAATTCTCACTAAACTTGTTTTTTAAAAAATCTCACTAAACATTTGATTATTAGTTACATTTATAATTATTGATTAAATATGCTTTATTAGATTTCACATGATCTTGAATGGAGAAATGAGTACAACAAGATCACGTTATCACTTATAACTTTAGTAACTAATGATTTGTAAATTTAAACTTACTAATAACATCATAAAAATAGATAGATCAAATTATGATAAATTAAATAGAATGGTCAAATTCTAAATTTTAGCATTATATGATTAAAATAATAATTAGGGTGCACTACTTCATATACTATTGAATTTTAAGGATGATATCAATATAGCAATAAACTTAAATAGATTGGATTGCACTATTAAACTTTGATTTTAACTTCAGTTATAAGTGATACATTTAATCCATTATTACGTGATGATATGATCATTTTCTTTCTTGTTAACTTTAATTTGTGTATCAATTTTGTTGCTAAACTTTAAAATGTTTCAATTTTAAGCACTGAACTTTTAGACTGTCACTAGTGATTAATAACCTCCTGTCACTGGTCACTATTTGCAATAAGATTGGTATCAAAATTTTTGCATTTCCCTCCTTTTCATTCGATTGATTATGCATGAAGCTCACTTAAAATTACTAAAAATCTATCTAAAGTTTCAACGTATTAATATTTTAATCTCTTTTGACAAGTGTTTGATGAGGCTACTTTTAAGGTATGTTGATTTTTTTTCTCAAAATAATACTTCTCACCGGTCGAATTTTCGATCAAATACTCAAAACCCCTTAAACTTTATAAATCCCTCAAACCCTTAAAAATGATAAAATTTTTATGTTTAATTTTGTGAGTTTTAAATGAGTTTTGAGAAAATTTAAACAGACAGAATGATAGAAAACAATAGAATAAATTTATTGATGTTTAGGGTGACCGTCAAAAACACCATGAATAACAATTCTGTTGACAATTGAAATAGGTGATAACCCTGATACTAATGTAAAA